AACGCGGCGGCGCCGCTGGCTACTTTACTCGGACCCTCCGGATGTTGGCAGTCCATGAGTATGGACTTTGTGACAGAGGACTCGGTGGGCATAAATCATCATCATGAGGAACCTCAACTTGTGGCGTATCCTTTGAATCGGTGCTATAACACAGCAAACCGTTATTTAACGAACATCGGTGTGACCGTGCGCGCAAAAGCACCGACAAGTTCTTGTCCGAGTTCCAAACTCCTTGCTCCTGAGAGCCTGTAGCAGCGCTATACATATACTATCACCCGCGTATGCGGCGTGGATCAGATCCATCACTGACGACGCCACCGTCGTGATATTAGCAATCTTATAGTCCGGTCTGCGTGACAACGCATCAGTCAAAGCATTCTGCTTTCCTGGCCTATACTTCACCTCGAAGTTATATTATGCAAAGAATGAGATCCACCTGGCCATCCTCTGCGAGAGGTGAGGCGACTGATGGTCTGTGTAGATTACAAACGGCTTTGAGCCAAGCAGATGCACCCTGAACTGACAAGTACATACTTCATCGCAAGGAATTCTTTTTCGTGGACTGGGTAGTTCCTCTCCGCAGCCTTAAGCTGGCGAGATTCGAACACGATCACCCGATCTCGCCCCTTGGCGCCTGCTTGCAGCAGTGCACAGCCGATGGCAAAGCCCGAAGCGTCACAGACGACACTAAAAGGACGATTGGGGTCTGGCAACGCCAGAACTGGTGCATGAAAGAGGCTGTCTTTGACCCTGTCAAAAACCTCCCGATGCTCGGTGTCCCAACACATTCCGTATTCTTTTTAAAGAGATTCGACAATGGCCGTGCCATTTCCGCATAATTTGTGCAAGTAATTGGCGAGGCCGAGTCTCATGCGCAAGTCCTCTTGGTTCTGTGGAACCGACCAGACCATAATGGCCCTGACCTGAGCGGGATCCGCTCGAAGGCCACGCTCTCCAGTGTAGCAGCCTAGAAAGGGGTTTTCTTCCGCACCAAAGATGGACTTATCGGTATTAGCATGCAGCTTATTCGTGCGCATAAAATAGAGCACCGCTCTTAAACGGACGATGGGGTTTTCTTCATCTGTGCTCTCGTTTCCCGCACGACTATGTCGTCGAAGTATATCTGTGCGTCCGCCCGATGGGGCCTGAAAAATTGTGTCACAAGGCAATAAAATGTTGCTGGTGCATTTGACAGCCCTTGATACATTTCAAGCCGCTACCAGAGCATCTGGTTCGGAGTACTCACCGCTGTCAGCGGAATATTACTCGCTCTCATAGGCAATTGGTAATAACCATCGACCAAGTCGAGTGCGTTGTACTTTGTACAGCCAACCATATTGTTATGGAGAATATTCTTTTTAAGAATAAGCGTGAGTGCTGAAATGATGGCAGCGTGTAGCTTATTGTAAGCGTAAACAATACGCCACTTGCCGTTCGGCTTCCGTACACAAAGCGTGGGTGTCGAATGGGGAGACTTGCTCTCACGCACCATTCTTACCTCGTGCGTCGTACAGAAAAAGACGTCAATGACGTCAAACTGCTCCTTGGGCAGAGGCCATTGGCGTGTTACGTAATATTTGGTTCCTGGAACCAGGTCAACCTCATGACGCACACCTCGGCCCGGAGGTAGGACCGACGGCGGGTCTTTGGAGACGACTCTTAGAGTTACGTTACCAAAGGATAGTACGAATCCGAGGGATCCTTCAGGCTTGACGATACAATTCGCGCGCTCAGCACCCTCTTAATTTCCTTCCGTAGACTTCATCCAGAAGCGACGACGAGCCAATCCCCTTGTTTTGTTGTATAATGACAACCTGGGCTAAGTCGCCTGCCTTCAAGGCGCCGCCAAACTCTTCGAAAGACATCTCGTCCAGATCAAAAAGAGCATCCACCGCGGGAATAGCCTCGAGGGTGACGTCGCCGTCTTTCTCTCCCGTC